GATCTTCAGTTAGGTTTTACATTTTGTGAATACAAAACAAATGTTTACTCACCACACTACCCTGAAAGAAATCAGGATGATGTAATAAGTTAAAGAAATATTTGAAAAGTAAACAGACTAAAAATAACGATTTCTCCGAAACTCAAACACCGCGTATTCGACGGTTCTTTAGGGCGGTGAATATTTCAAAGAAATGTAGGCCCTACCTCATGCCGTATTTTATAGACCGGTAGGCCTATTTCTTTATGTTGAGTTGTCAAATCTCTGTATACTTCATTTGTCCAAGTAGCCTTGGTCATATGAAAAGCGGTTGGTTGACATTAATAATGTATGATTTACCAGTAAAACTACAGAAGTTTATATTATTATGTTTGGTAGCTCTCGCCTCTATCTATAAGTTCATTGTATGTTGTATGTAAACAAAAAATTACTATGTAATAACCATAATTATGCAATTTCTAAAATTGTATAAGAAATAAGAAACACGTGTTTCTTAATAGCGTTGACCTTCATTGTGATTAGCGCTTTGGTTTTCAAGAACTTCAAGTGATTGTGAAATAGCATGCAGTTTTTTTTTCACCAAGGTAACTGAAATTTTGAGGTCAAATATTGAATATTAAACATTCGCTGATTACAGGAGAATAGCTTCACATGACCTAGCTAGATTGCTAAGCTGAAAGTCTCAAATGTCTCGAGTTCGAATCCGGGTTTGATGAGTACCTACCTCGCGTTAGGGATAGTAAAGGCGACTGGGCATTGTGATAACCACACTATCACTTCATATGCCGAGGTCACAGAAACAGGTGAACTCTACTTCACTTGCCCCATTGAACTTAAGCTTCATAATCATTTCCGATGTCCTTGATTGTTTTATCTTTAACCGCTTTCAATTGTAACAAGTCCCCCCCTTGAACGGCCGGGCTGCCCCCCCCCCCCACCCCCCTTAAATATGGCAATACTAAATAGCATATTCTGAAGATACATTTACATACATGGTTGGTATTAAAAAAACATGTAAATACTTTCAATGTATTTATAAAGTATAAAAGATCGGGTTACCTATTATGTTTCGTTTTGTAAGTAGTTTTTTAAAAGTGTTTCTTTGGGAATTATTTAGTTACGGGGATGAGCTAAAAGTTCATCGCCTATTTCATCCACTTTCTCATCCTGAGGGCTGGCACTTTTTAGGGCTGGGGCCAGTTAAAGAAAAGAGAACATAATCAAGTTGTCTGGGCAACTCCTGTCAGACACCTTTGCTGCTCTGGGATGACCGGCCAACCTACCTAGCCTCTGCAAGTAATTACTTCCCCATGTGAATGCGCGGTTCGAAGTTTGATTCATATCTTGACACAATGGCGCGGTGTGAAATGTGATCTTCACGGCAAACAAGACATTAATAAAAAAGTCATTCCGGAAAGTTCAGATTTCAAAATAACTGTTTTGGCGTAGTGGCGGATGTGGGGTGTGGAGTGGGGTGGGGTAGGGGGGGGGAGTTTATAAAAACGACAGCAGACAAATAAACAAGGGCGTGAATAGGTGTCACTGCTACATTGGTGACAGGTGAGATATGGGGTCAGTTAAAAAATAGTCACGGATCTCTTCTGGCTTGTGTTTCTGTGATTGGAACAATGGATGCTGGATGGGCATCAGGTGGATACTTGAGGGGGGGGGGGGACTTTGCCAAATTATATGTACTTGTTAACTTTACCTACTTTAGCAAAGTAGGTTTTTATGTAAGAAGGTAAAGGACACATCGATAGTGGCTATTATTTATGCTATTATTCTGCTATTGTTGCAGCTTATAGTTTTAGAATGTTAAGAGTGGTCTGGTGGTAGAGTGCGTGATTTTATCAAGTGGATTTGGGTTTGAATACATGTCAAGAGAGACTTTTTGGTTCGATCTGTACGGGTCTATTTTGACAGCAACGACGACTCAGTGAAGTCACTGTATGCTAGGAATGAAAATAATAAAATAACACTAGTGAAGCTATTGGAGAACGACGTCTGATTATCGTTAGAACTTAACATATAATAAAGCTAAATATAAGTTTTTGGCGTGGAGGGTAATTTTTTTTTAGCCCTCAGTTGTTTTTTTTAGTTTACAAACAGGAAAAATGAAAGTACTCCCGTTATTATGGTAATTGATATTATGCATTGCTACTTATAATAAAGGCACTTTCGAAAGCCTGCAGCACAGCTGAATGTGAAGCTACATTGCTGCATGCGCAGTTGCCTTGTGGTGAATTTGTTGACGCTTTTATTGCTGATAAATATCTGGCAACCCAAGACTTGCCTGGTTTATTTCAAACCACATAAAGTTCAGATTACGTCCTAAGGCCCTATTCATGGAAACTTATACTTTTAAAGTTTAATGATACAACACATGTAATAAATTTTAAGGTCAGTCTTAAAAAAAAATACGCTTGCATTGTGAAAATGTATCCCCTCCAACCCCCACCCCAACATTACTAGTACTTTAATGGAGTGCACTTCACAAAGAAAACCAAATACATGGCTAAAAATAAAATTGGAGAATTCCCGTTCTAAAAATAAGACGCAAATGATTGAATACAAAATCAATGAGAGGGTGAGAATTGTACAATGTAAACACGTAGGTATTTAACTTAACATGTTTAATGAGCTGTTAATGAAATCGCGAGACAGAGAGACCGTGAATTCCCATGGGACTTTGGTCTCAGCCCTGACACTGTTCGTGGTCCCACTCAGATGTCTGACAGAAAGTTTTAACACCAGAACAAGCACAAGAACACTGACGACTTTTAAAGTTAACCATGTGTGAAGATATGGCAATATTCTAAGCTTTTTATGGGGCGGGGGGGGGGGGGGGGGGGGGTGGGGGGAGAGGGAATAAAAAACGTGGAAAAGCTATATTTAGTACTAACGAAAACCAATCTAGAAGACAAAGTGGTCAAGGTTAACTTTAATGAATCAGGGGCGTTTCGATGTTTTGTCATCAACTGCATTTTTTAAAACATAGGCATTGAAAGAAGAAAATAGGAGGTACAATAAAAAAAATAAAGCAAACCAATGAGAGAAGAGAGAGAGAGGGGGGGGGGGGTGACATCTAAAGTAAAGTTATCGAGAGAGAGAGAGAGAGAGAGAGGGGGGGGGGGGTTGATATGTGTGCTACACGAAGCATAACCGTAGAAGTAGTTGAACTTTAATCGGATCAGAGTACTGCCGCATCAAGCAAAGCGCCATAGGATCCAGTGAAACGGAGCAGATAAGTGGTCGACTGTGTGAGTGGGTTTGTCGCCGTGTCTAGTATAAGCTTCAAACAAAGAACTTACTCTACTGAAATGTTGGAAGTAAACATCATGCTATAGGTCTTTAACCCAGGCCAGAAGTTAAGAAGAATTTATAAATGATTAATTATTCACCGTTTCGAATATAAAACTTAAAACACTGACATAGAGAAGAGCGGGTCGTCGCCAATAGCTATATATAGCTTAACGTGAGACCGTTATTTTAGAGGTATGTGTCCACCCACCCCAACACAGGTATATACACATATGCACATATATATATATATATATATATATATATATATATATATATATATATATATATATATATATATATATATATATATATCATGCCTAGTTCAAATGCTCTACTACTCTGCCACGCCGCCCCTTGTTAATTTTGTCACATGTAGCCTTTCAAACAGTCATCTTGGACACCTATATATTTGCTTATCCAGAACTATCTTCGCTCTTAATACCTCCCCCTTTCTCCCTCGCCTTACCCCAGCATTATTACTTTTAAAAAAAAAAAACCTTCAACAATTCTAATCCCTCACACAACAACAAAGTTTTTGCGAATTATATTTATAAAACCTCGTAATGTGTAGATTGTCTCCCTTATGGAAACCAATTTGTATAATCTCCCTTACTAGTGCAGGAAAAAGAACGCGCTGAACCATGCAATGAACTCTCCAACCGAAGCGTAGCGAGATTATCAAAGGTCACATCAGTGACTTCTCACCCCTGTCTTATTTATAGACTGTAGTTCGCCCCTGCGGGCTGGAGGCCTGGATAGTTTTTATATTCACTGCCTGACTGCTAAACAAGTTTTCACTCAAATTATACACACCATACATTTTTAAAAAGCTGGGCGTATTTGGACACATTTGGTTGCTTATAGAGGCTGTCATGTCATGTTTGAAAGGCTTTACATGGAAGAAGAAGAATAATGTAATTTAAGACTGCTTATTTTATGCGCTTTTACCTAGATCTAACCACCTCACTACCAACTCCAAATCTATGGTTATACGTCGGTCTATTAATTACAATATTTTGTTAAATTCATACGTTTATACAATAAGCATAATGTTAAACATACTGTTCTGATTTGGCTATTATTTGGCTATTTCCTCCCCCCCCCCCAACCGTTAAAAAATTGCGTCACTACTAAGATTACACAGATACACACGGTACTTTTAGATGTCGTTGCCTGTCAATAAACCACTTGCAGTGAAATTTTATCAACTTCAACAACCCCTCTCTCGTCAGTCCCCTATCTCAAAGAGTCAACCGCCCCAGCACAAATTCACGTTCGTTTAATTCACCATCAAAACACCCATCCTGCTGTTTTAGTACTTGGCTACTTTAAAGTAGAAAGCATAAGCAGTGGTTGTTAAATGGTGAAGTTATCACACGCTGATAATGTTATCTTTACCCGACCAACGTGGAATTTTAACAACACGCCCTTTAGGGTAAGTCGTTTACTGTAGCAGTTAGTAGTAGCGTCCCTTTGTGTCCCTGAATGGGTTTATAAATAGTTAACCATTGCTATTTCTGACTGCAAACCCAAAGAGTTATTCCCCTTTTTTTAAAAAGCTGTCGAGTCGTGTTTTAATATTAGAAAAAAAATCCTGTATTATTATGCATTCAAGGCGGGATAATTCTCGTTTTTAATACCCGGCTTAATTCCCTTACGTTTTATTGCAATTTTAAGCTATACAAGGATGTGAAGGCAGTTGAGAGAAACTACACCACGCGGAAGGGTTAATATGTAGTTAGCCGACACATTAGAAAGATAGCGTTCGTGTTTTTATGCTGGCGAAACCCTCTCGCTACAGCACGGATTTAGACTGGTAAAATATTCTGGATTATGTACACACTGGGGGAATATTTTCTCGCAACTGGGTATGTAAATTTACTCAATTCCTTTAGTGCCACGTACAGTTACGTCACGAGTAACGACGTTCAAACATCCTGTGTCACATTGAAGGGAGTGGTTTAGTATTTTAAAGTATTTCCGTTGTATGGTCTCTGGTTAAAAAAACCCATCTGGCTTGTTTACAACTTTCCATACTTCATTCAATACTCTGACTATAAAACTATCACAACTTTAAGTAACTCTTATACATTAGTGTTTAGTTCTGTCGGTACGCGTAGTTTAGGTTGTTTTTATGACGAGTTAAGCATGAGGATCAATGATTGCGTAGTACACCATCATTACATTAGGGGAAACTTCACATACTGTACCGAATTATACGTGTCCAAGTGATCATATCTGATAATTGTTACTTGAGCCAGCTTAACCCTAAGTCTTAAAGTTTAACTATGTAATATATATATATATATATATATATATATATATATATATATATATATATATATATATATATATATATATATATATATATATATACCCCACACACGCACACACATATACATACACACATATATATAAAGATATATATTTAGGCCCATATATATATATATATAAATATATATAAATATATATATATATATATATATATATATATATATATATATATATATATATATATATATATATATATATATATATATATATATATATATATATATATATATATATATATATATATATATATATATGTATATATATGCCCTATACCATATACACGTAAATATTAGAACGTAAATACTGACTGGCTCCCTAAAGAAACTAATAGTACACCCGGTAGTTGGCCCTCTTATAAACAACCCGTGTTGTTTGTTACCATTAAATATATCTGACACTAAACAGCCTGTTTATTTTCGATTAGACCAATACAATAGATTCACTGATTGATTAGAATCGATTATCCATTTTTTGGGTAGAACGGGGGGAGGGGAGGGGGTTTGTGCAGACGACAAAAGGTGCTTGACTCTGTTGGGAGAGACAGGTAGATCTAGCGGGGATAGAAAACGTACCTTTTGTTTAAGGGCTCATGATATCACGGCCACGCCCAGCCCGGCTCTCTTCACGTCCGGGGTCTATTGTGTTTACATTCGGTCAGAGGGGGGGGGGGGGAGGGGGGGGGGAGAGAAAGAAGAGAAGGCGCTATTACAGTCAGGGGCTAGGGGAGCTAACACAAGGCTGTTTGACATTCGACCAAGGGAGGTAAGCGAGTACTGCACAATTACATTTCTCCCCCCCCCCTCACCGGATTCGCCATTTTACCGCATGTGATGTAAAAGTTCACGCCAACCAGACAATAAAAAAAAAAGAGACTGCCTATCGTTCACTGCAAGCCCGCTGCAGTTGGAAGCACCAGTTACTCAGAGTATTGGCAGCGTTAGCTCCCTGCGTTTGCCACTGGAATCTGAATTAATGATGTTTAAAAAAATAATTTCCTCTTGTTCTGGATTAATAATTACATTGAGATTAGCTAAAATAACCAGGTATGTCTTCTTAATTAGCAACTAATACGTTTTCTGATTAAGTTATAAATATCTGATTGAACAAAAAAGCACAGTGGTAGCTAGTGGCGTGATTAGGGGGTGGTTAGGGCCGACAACACCCACCGGATGACACTGGCATAAAAAAAATATATTAAATCCTCATAGGGAGGCGGGTAACGAAATATTGGGTATCTGATAAACAATAAAATTACATATCATATATTTAGTTATTCATTACTGTAAAAAAAAATATAAGTAAGTAAAAGTAAAGTTTCCCTTTTAAACCTGACGGTCTATGGGGAAAATGAAGTAGATTTCACCTATTTCTGTGACCTCGGTATATGAAGAGATAGTGTGGTCAGCACTATGCCCAGCCGCCCTTTCTTTCCCTAACGTGAGTTAGGTACCCATCAGAGTTGGGTAGACTCAGGTCTACTGACTTGAACCCGGATTCGAACTCGAGACTTACGGGTTAGCAGTCCAGCTCTCTACCGCTAGACTACTCCGTCCCGTGTTTTTAAAAAAAAAAACAAAAAAAAAACATATACCCCATCATTTAACTAAAATAGAAGTAGATCTATCTAAGCAAAAATGGGGTAGGCTAAACGAAAGTACTCTCCAAATATGATGTAGGAGCTGTATCTAATAAAAAAGCAACTGTTTTTCGAGCTTATATCTTTTTACTAAACAGCAATATCATTACACATTTTGTACATGATTGTTATGGCTTTGCAACATTTTAGTTAAGGGTGTGTTTGAGTGATAATATGGCGCATGCTGAGACAGAACTTTTAAAAGGGATAAGGACAGTTTAAAATCTATAACTCACGCTTATAGATTAAGTAGCCTATACTTATACAATAAGAATACCTATAGAGTCCTTGCAAACACGTGACCTAAATCACGTGATACCTACGCCCGCCGCCACAGTGGTGTACATCAGACGTAAACACAATCAGCTGTTCGCCAGCGCTGGACGTGTTCACCAACGCTGGACGTGTTCACCGTATGTAAAGAATCGCGCCCGCGGAAAAGGAAAAATATGTTTAAAAACTTGAACTCTTAGGAATTGAAGATCCTTATACAGTTATTGACAGTTTCGCGGATAATATAAATATGTGGCCGAAATTTCTAAATAAAAATACTGTTAGTAATACCGTTTGCGTTTAGAGTTTAAGTAGACGAAGCTGATCAAATGCAGTAATATATTAGAGGTTATCTACTGTAGCAAACGTGAGACCACTTAACTCCTACAAAACCCACACTACAACGGCTAATATAATCCATGGGTAATAACCAATCTGGGTAGCATGTTATACAATTTAAGACCTTATAATCCAGCAGGGAAGTGATCAGACACATTAATACTGATGTTCAACCCTGATGATGGCTGCCCCCACCTGTATCTACTAGCCCACAATAAAACCAAAGAGGAGTCTGCCCTGCCCTCCCCTGAAAATGTCTCATTTCCGTGATACCCAGCCCCACAGAAATAGTATATCTCTTATATAATTTTGACCCTCAGGGCCCAGCAGGGAGAACAAAGGGGAAAGTCCCACTGCTCTCCCCTCAACACTTCTCACCTCGGTGTCATGTTATGTCATTTATAGCACACACGGCTTATCAGGGGAAAGCATTAAGGCATTAAGAATCTTAACTCTGGACAGCTACACACTAGTATACTAGCTACACACTAGGTGCCTACTGTAAACTACTAGACTGTAGGCCCTATGTAGACCTGCAATTGTATCAATTGTAGACTGGGTCCATTGTTATTATTCTAAACCATCTCACTTATAATGTTTCTTGATTTGTTTCTTTTATAAACAGTGGATTTAAAAAAAAAAATTTAGCCTAATCATTAACCAAATAATAATAATGTGGTTATTTGTTGTTGGCTGGTATGATCTAGATTGTACTACTAGGCTACAAAAACGTAGTAGACCAATTACTAGATATGAATTTGAATTTAATTAAACTCAGTCCAGTATCAGATACATATTGCTGTAAAAAGACAACAAAGTAGGTAGGCCTTAGTAATGTATTAAAGCCTTCTACTACAATAATATCAACTACATGCTTGTATAAAGTTTTTACAATTTAATTTAAGTAGCAGATTCTAGATCTAAGTCTAGTCATATAATCTATTTCAATTTCAGAAAATTTCGTTTGCTAAAAAAATGATTAGATAATAGAGCGAGATTTTAGATCTTAGAGACAATTAAATGCTTTATTAGGCCTATTATGACTACTTTAGATTTATTATGGGTGTATTTTGAATCGAATGTAGATCTAAAGTAATTAAATTTAAGTAAAGAAGTAGATTCTAGATTCTATGTCTACCCAGCGGAGCCAGGTATTAGATCTTATTATTCTTATTAGCCTACTACTTTTGACTTTGTCTTTTACTATTAGTATTTGTGAAGGTCGAGCATATTTGTTTTATTAATAGTTATCTTTTATAATTAAAATGAAGTTTATTATTTTACTGTCCTTACATGAAACAAAGTATCGAGAACTGCATTTGATCAGATTCGGCTACTTTAACTCTAAACGCAAACAGTATTACTAACAGTATTTTTATTTAGAAATTTTGTCCACATATTTATTTATACGAAACTGTCAATAACAGTATAAGGATCTTCAATTCCTAAGAGTTCAAGTTTTTTAACGTATTTTTCCTTTTCCGCGGGCGCGATTCTTTACATACAGTGAACACGTCCAGCGCTGGTGAACACGTCCAGCGCTGGCGAACAGCTGATTGTGTTTACGTCTTGTGTACACCACTGTGGCGGCGGGCGTAGGTATCACGAACGGACGTGACGTCATATGAAAGGACTCTATACGTTAAGTAGACAGGGCCGGCGAACTAGGCGGTCGCCTAGGGCGCCATCCATAGGGGGCGCAAAAGGTTTAATCGCTATTATTAAAAAGTACCTAATAACGAATAACTTTTATAAAGGAGTAGCGATCTATTTCGGCACCCAGGACGAACTATCAATTTTGCGCCCCCACCCCAAAATTAGGTCTATATAGGCCTATATTTATTCGCGATGATGAAAATGCAGCCCCACCTCCCTAATTTGGAAAGGTCGGGGCGCTTTTTACCAGTCACTTTGCCTTTTTAATGTGGTGTCACATAACTGATGTAAAAAACGATTAAATAAGTTCGTAATTTACATTTCGAACATTTTAATAGGGCTCGTAAGTCTCGTTTTCTCGGAATTTGAATTAGATAGTATTGTCACTTGTTTGGTAAGTTTTGATGACTCGTTTAGATTTGGGAGTAACGACGGAAGGCTGTTGATGATATCGTTTCGTAGGTATAAAGTATAAAGTATCGAAGTGTTAAAGTGTCATAATTTTTATTTGGCTGTTGTGTAGTTGAAGGTCTAGTGGAATCTGATTGGTAGTAGAGAAATGAGAATGCAGGTGATGAAGTATCGTAGTTCTGGAGTTCGGGAGTATTGATTCTTGTGGTATTAAGGTGT